AAAAAAGATCATTGTATAAAATTAAGGTGGTTTTTCAGTAAAATCACCTAAATTACATAAAAAAATTTTAAGTGATTTCCGAAATACAGGTACGTTTTGACCTTATTGGTTTTCCCTCGGTTCTGGCCTTTATCTTATTTTGGCAGGAACACTTTTAAGAATCAGACTAAATATATTTAGAAAAAATAGGTTATATGCCTATTATCTGGTTTTGGTAGACATATTTATCAATTGAACACAATGTTATGATTATGTTTTGGTATAAATGCCACTCCATCTTGTTTGTCCATATTGTTAATGTATTAACATGGAGTAAGTTGTTATTGGCTATCGAAAATTCCCAAAGTGGTCTATCTTGTTTTGCAGTAACCACACAAAATTCAAAACGTTTATTTAAAAATTAGCAAGCTATTTAGCGCTGAGACCAATAATAGTGTTGCGGGCCACAAAAAAGCTTGGAGGGCCGCATGCGGCCCGCGGGTCGCAGGTTGAGTATGGCTGCTCTAGATCCTACTTAGACCTATCGTACAATGAACATTTTTGTAATGAAATAATGTATGATCCTGTATGTGAACTGAACAACTCGTAACTTAGAAGGCAATTATATTCCATTCTTTGGCAACAATTTCAACATTTATTGTTGATTTTTTCACCTTACATATTTAACTGTGATCACCCTGTAAGTACGAAATTTTTTGTCTGCCTCTATAATGGTTCAAGGCGATGCATTTCTAATACACCACAGTGTGTCATAATATTTAATATACGGAATTTCTCTTTAACATAATCATATACTTTATGTCAGTATACAGTGCGGGTCTAAATTCGTTCCCCTCCATTTATTTTTTGAACCGTAAAAGTTAGAAATTAGAATATTTGGGAACTGAACTAAGAAATAGATACTACCTGATAACGTAATCGTTAAAAATGGCGGATGGTAGCCGTTTTAGAAGATAATTTTAAATAGGATCATATGGCAAGTGATACATCATTTGAAAGCTTGTTCGAAACTCTTTACAATGAAATCAATAAAAATAAAATTTTTACTCATAACGAATCATTTGCTTTAACTGTTTAATGCGTACTACAAATTTTCAACCTTTGGCAGTGTACTATTCTCGTTTAAAAGTTTTTTTTTATGGGTTAATATCACAATTTCAAATTTCTAACTGTTACGGTTCAAAAAAATAAATATTTATTGTTTAAAATTCATATATATTGGTATATATTAAGTTCTATTGGGGAGACTAGTTATAGGATCCAATTTTACCAATAAGGTGGTATTTTTTCTTTCGGTATTTCAGCTATTTTTGTAAGGTGGAAAGACTTACTTTGACCGAAAAAGTTCTGCGGAATCATGAATCACCATGTAAGTGACAATATCTTGATTAAAGTTGTAAAGAATGTATTTTGACTACACAGAAAGAGCGAATAACTTTCAAAAATATTTGCAAATAATTTATGGTGTCCATTTTAAAGAATTAGGGTTTCTAACTTCAACACCCTGTATCTCAAAATCTAGCCGTAGGATAGGATTGGGCCTACAGACATTTTTGATGGGGATAATGAGTAATTTAACATATCAAAACTTGATACATTTTGACGGTACTTCTCTTTGCATAAGAAAACGCGTGGCCCTGTACTTTTTTGGCCGATAAGGCAGTTCTCTGACAAATACAATACGTTACATCTACTCCTCATTGGTCAACGTCATCACGTTACCCTCAAGCACGCTCGCCGTTTCTTTAGCGCCACTGCTATTAAAACAGTCAACGAGACCACACGCGTTTGCCGCGATAAGAAGGGACGCTCTGTCCGCCATTATGTAACATACAATTTTTATCTATATTAACATGGCTTAAAGTAACAAATTTCCTAGAGAAATGCTGTAAATAATGTAAAAAGTGTTTAGTCTTAAGTAAATCAAATCATTCCTTTAATGAGTAGGTAATCTTTTAATCCAAATTCTACATCTCCCAGGCCTATGGATCGCATATTCTTATTTCTACAGTTCATGACCAAACATCGGTCCTATCTTGTACATGGCGCGAGGACACCGATAGAAGCCTGTATATCGGTCAAACCGCGACAACGACATTAATCGACTGGAACTAATCGGGATACGACGGTATGAAAATTAAAAAATGATCCTCTGGTTCATCGAATACCGATGCGATATGCATTCTCCGCATCTCTCAATCTACCTGCAGTTCACTTTTGGATTATCAGTAAATTTTTTATATTGTTTTTCTTTGCTAAATTATTGATTAGAAATTTATTGATTAGAAATATATTTACTAATTTATTAATTAGAAAATTGACTAGAAATTAACTGACTTCAAACTATTGACTAGAAATTTATAACCTAGAAATTTATTCACAAAAATTTATTGGCTAGAAATGTATTGACTAAAAATTTATTGACTAAAAATTTATTGACTAGAAATTTATTGAACAGTTCTATAAAATGGCATAATGTATAAATGATTTTCAAAATTTTTGAAATTTTTTGGGTTAGAGGTAGATATATATATAGAGTGCTATCCAAAAGTCCCATCCTTCTGTATATATTAAACGGTTACACTTAACTAATGAAATTTGGAATGTAAAAATGAATGGATATTAACTTCTTTTGTAGTGGTAACTGGCGACGTTATCGTCATAGATGATGCCACAGTGTCAGTGTGACGAGTAATTTTAAAATGGATTTTATTGCAAGTGACACCTCGTTTGAAAGATATTTAAAAGACTTATTCAACCATCACATTTTTATCTTTAAGGTTGTTTTGTCGAATTAAATAAATAAATAAATAAATAAATAAATAAATAAATAAATAAATAAATAAATAAATAAATAAATAAATAAATAAATAAATAAATAAATAAATAAATAAATAAATAAATACTAAAATATCAATATAGCGTATAATTAATGCAGATTCAGATTAAGATGCGCTCCATATATTTCATGATAATAAAACATCCTATTGTAAAACTCTGATCGTACCCTTTTAAATGTTTCAGAGCTCTATAATCTTCAATAATTTGTTGCCGTAGCGTAAACCTTATGTTATGTTGGGAATGGGGTGTTAATACACTGCGACCAAAAAGATCTATTGTACCCCTTCTCTGTCGCTTATGCTACAAGGAAATATCTCAATGCCTATAACGACCCTTGCAATCCTATTTTCTCAAGGAAGTGTAGGATTTGGAGTGACTTCACTTTAGGTAAATCTCCCTTTTCTATTTGATATCCTCCGAGATATAATGCCCTTGGATTCTGAAATGCTATACAATCAGTATGTAAATGAAGGTTTTGTCCTCCTCCTCACAGAATTTGTACTCACTATCCTCTACTATTCTCAGTTTACTAAGGTGTCCTTTTAGTCGACAATGCCCGGTAAGGATCCCTGTTACAATACGTAGCCTGTTCTTGCTCAGGTAGATGAAGGCTTCCGATCTTTTCTGGTTATATTCACCCAGAAGTATCTTAGCCTGTCTCCGCCCCAAGAGATTATTCCAATTATCGGTTTTTCTACTGCCCAATTCTTTTTTAATCTCTCCTAATATTATGTTATTGCTGATACCGCAGAACGGCTCAGGTCCTACAAAGGGTGTTTGAGCCCCTTTCCTTGTAAGACTATCAGCAATATCGTTACCCTGTACCCCGTTACGTCTCGGGACTCAAGTAAGAGTAACTCTATTTTTCTCGCCTAGCTTATTAAATTGTTCTAGACATCTCCAGACAATTTTTGAGTTAATTACTTTGATGGCTGCTTGATAATTGGACATAATCATAATCTCTTGTCTATGGTTTCTCTCGATGTTAAACTGGATACACTTCTCGATGGCGTGAATTTCCGCCTGGAAGATGCTTGGGTATTTTGCCAAGCTTTCGGAGTGCTTGGTTCTCGGCCCATACACTCCTATTATTCCAGTTCCTTCTATGGTTTTGGAACCGTCCGTATACCACTGAATAGCATGTCGGTTGAAAGCGCGATGGATTCTTGGCTCCATTATTTCTTGCAGCCCAGCTATGTCGTTTTGAAGTTTTTCACAAAACTGTACTTCTTCTAGCATAAACATTAGATTTAAGATATCCACACAAAAAAATCTAAATGAGTAAGGTTCAGAGACCGACAGCCATTTGATCACATCTCGTCGTCCAATCCATCTACCAGGATATTAGTAGATGTAATTTGCCGGTTATAAGCCAAGCTCAGAGGTAATTGGGAGGTACTTGCTAATTGTGTAAAGGGTGGGGTTACTTAGGGTAACAACTAATTACATTATCTCTCTCATTACCTCTTTCATTACCTATCTCATTACCTCTCTTATTACCGCTCTCATTACCTTACTAATACCTCTCTCATTACCTCTCTCATTACCTCTTTCATTATATCTTTCACTGTCTCTCTCATTAGCTCTTACTTTGGTCTAGAACCGGCGAATTACATTTACTGATATTCCGCATCTAAATAACGTCTGACTGCAGCATAATAGTGTGTCTTGTTGAAAAGTTATATCCAAATTATTACCAAATTCATTTGGATTATCTTTCGCAATTTCTGGAATTAACGGAGCAATAAGGGTGTCTATCATCTCCAGGGAAACTTCACCTATTTTACATTCAAAAATATGGGACCAATGCAAATCGTTACTATGATAACGTAACGTAATTTATCCAGTTTTTTTTATCTAACTACATTAATTATTTTTCTATTTAACAAACAGCAAACAAACTACGGTTTTTGTGTAATAAAGTGGTGTTTTTTTACATTTGAGTAGAATGGTCGTCATCATTTTACGTCAATGGTATTCTATTTTTTTATAAACAAACATATACGTAACATCAATTTTTACACCATCGTGTGGGTTACTCCAAGGTGACCCTGTATTTGTGTTCTCCCGCATTACAAAAAGGCTTAACCCGCATGATTACTCAAGCACAAATTGTATCCCAAAACTCATTATTTACCGTTATTTCATGTAGTACAATTAAACTGGTAATTAATGATTTTCTAGCTAACTTATCTAATTGATACATATTGTCCAGATAAATCACACGCGTGTCGCAAAATGACACAAATAAATTCGTTGCAATTAAATTTAGTTTTTTGGCAAAGATTATTAAGATTTTTGAGATAATTCCCTGGCATTTTCCTAACAAAAGCCCCATCTAATCGACTATTTGTTTCATATAATAATTCGAAGTGCTGGCGTGAAGTTATTGTATAGTTTTTAGATAATCGTAAGTGTCTATTAATATTTTTTTATTTCTGTTCATTAATTCGTTTGATTTTTAATTGAATTTCATTTTCGAGAAGGAATTATTTAGTACAATTTTATTTATCACAAATTATTTTGATAGAATAATAGGAAATAATAATTAGACAATACATATTTAAAAACTATTTTAATTCTGAATTTAAAAAAAATGTTGATTAATTGCATGTGAATATTATTGTAGATTAAAAAAGCTTGTTGAAAACATAAACCTCCTACCAGAATTTAATTTAAAACATAAATAAATTCATTACATATATTCATTTATTGATTTTTATTTGTTAATAAAAAAATTTACCGAACTAATAACTTGACATTTATCCATTTATGATCTTTAATATTTGGCGATGTATGAATAATTTTTCAATAATTAATTTAGCTACTGACATGAAAACTGAACTATTAATTATGTTCTTTTTTATATTTGAATTGGTTTTAATCTAGAAGGCTAAATTTAAATTCATATAAAACAGTAAACGTTTTACCAATAGGTTCAGGACCTTATTTTGCGAAATAACACTCAATGGACCGTGTAGGTTAATAATTACAATAAAAAATTAAATAAATAGCTAAATAAATCCTCAACCACATTAATTTAACGAATTTATTTAAATAAAAATATTTATTTTATAGGACCTAACATAATGTTGAAACTGAAATACAACTACCTCTATGGAAGAAATTTAGTATATTATCCTGATATTAACAATTATTATGATGATTTATTAGGAATAAACTGGTCAGCTAGATCAGTTTACTGGATAAAGCAATACTGGCCTAGACACATGTCAAATTTGTGGCCTACTGAATATAACTTAAGGAAACTTAGGGTAAGAAATGTTATTAAAAGGAATCGATAAAGGTTATTTGTAGATATCATCAAATGTGCATCTATCATTGTCTCATTATTAATAATTAGTGCGGTCCTCTTTCTATGGGAGGACGAAATTTTCTTACCTACATTTTTAACATTTTTCTTTAACCTCTTTGTGTCTTAAAAACCAAAAAATCTAATACGGTAACGAATGGACCGATAAATCTGTGGTTTTTACTGTACCTACTTGATAATATTTTCTACTTAGAATTTTTGGTATAACTAAAGTATATTAACCGTTGAGAAGCGACATAAAGCGTCGGTGCCTTTGATCTTGGGTGGTGCAAATTTTCTTTCTCTCTATTTTGACGTTATTGACGGAACGACACACTAAAACACTGCTCGAATTATGAACTGGTCTTGAATGTGATGTTTACACTGCTCGACGTAATTTGAAGTAAAACTCTTTTGTAGTTTACATTTATAATAAAGGTTTGGTCATTAGGCAGTTTTATATTTATGAGTATTTAACTTATGTAATAAATATAAAAATATATATATCACTATTGATAAATTTAAATTTTTTTACCTACGTCCGGATGAGCTAGAGACTTGAAAGTTGGTAGGTGCACAGGGTTTTGATTTTTGATAACAATAGAAATTATTACTTATGGACCTTCTTATTTATTAATCGAGTTGTCTCAAACTTTAAATTTCACGTTGTTTAAACATGTCGCTGAATACAATTTTTGACTAATAAATCCACAACAACGAATTCCTATATCAGCTGCCGGACTAAAGTGAAAGGGGTTGTTTACATCTTTAGAAGACGTCTTGCCTCTCTATTTCGCGTCGGCGCACTAGAATTCGGTTCCCCAGCTGTTGCTACTCAACGGTTAATATACTTTGGTATAACTTCAATTTATGCACTAGATACTTGATACAATCTAGTTTACTGAACAAGCATTGATTTTACTAGACAGTCACACTTGTCAACTGTCAAACCATCGATACTTTTCTAATACTGTCTTGAATGTCAAATACATTATTTATAATCTCTCGAATTAGGTGATTATTATAAAAAAACATAAAATATGTTCCTTATTTTTTTTAGGTAAGAAATAATCTATACCTGCTTAATGTCTGAAACAGAATTCCTCGAAAATATGGTAGTCATATTTCGTTAGAGAATACCTGGTATTAATTTTTTTATTGTGATATTTACAAAAGCAAGTATATATTTGTTAAATAATATGGAAAATAATGATTGTAAAATGTCCACAAATAAAAAAGCAATATAACAAATATGTAAATAAAATAATTATTAAATTTTTTTAATATATATTTTTGCGTTTTTGTTAATAAAAATCCTAATGCTAATTGGTGGCTAATTCTAAACTTGTCTTTACAATTTCACAACGAGAACAGTATCCGACGAGCACACAACGGTTACACTGGGGTGTTTCAATGATCTATTTTGTACCCCCTACTTTGTTATAGTATATATTATATACTTCAGAGTTGCCAAAATTAATAAGTAACCGCGAAATACGATTATATATAAATATGCTACATTATTCTTTTACTTACTGTTTAGTTTTATTATTTGATTAATCATTATGTTTCTTCGTTAAAAACTTTTTGTCATACTACCAAAAATATTTTCCTTGGTAGGCAATTTGAGAAGGTAAACCATGATGGTTTGCTTTTAAAACTAAGTAAATTTGGTTTGAAAGAGCTACACTATGGCGTAGACGTAGACAGTTAGTGGCATATGAGAAACTTTTTTATTATTAATATTATGAAAAAAGTTATTCTTCATATAAATTGGACCATGGTCTATAACCTAGAATACAACCATCAGATATCAATTTTTATTAGTCGTATACGAGGTTTGTTAAACATAAAGGTCCTTTAAATTTATATTTTTTGACAAACCTCGTACACGGCTTAAAAAAATGATATCTGATGGTTGCATTTTAAGTTTTGGACCATGCAGAACTTTTTATCAAGAATACAAGAATACATTTTTTTACAAAACCAATAATAAAAAAGTTTTCCTATAGTTCCAACTTAAGTAGACACACTGTATATTTATGTCGTTACTAATTATTATAATTTTTAATAACTTTTAAAATATCAACGTTACACCCTTGATTAAATCAAAACTCTCTTATAAACTTGACAATAAGTTACAGGGACAAATATCTCGAAACAAACTCCTAATGACACTGAAACTTCTTACTTTCGTTCTTTTCCTCCGATTCTTCATCAAGAAATAATAGCAAAACACAATCAGAAAAGTAATCATTCAACTTGAACTCGACCGAGATCTCAAATGAATGTCCGATCAATCAAACATGCGACTGGGAATACAACAAAAATACTGTTTCCAAGATCACACAATAATCTATAAGGGATTATGGAACATATTAATATTTGTGCCGACGCCGACGGGGACAGAATTGAAGTAGTTTTTCGTTTTAAAAGTTTATATTGATTCAACTCAACATTTCTGTGGTATATTAAAGTATGCTGAAATATTATATTAATAATAAAAATAATATGTAATTCTTAAATGAAATACACTTAAACTTTCTTTAAATATACCTACTATACAGGGTGTTTCAAAAAAGTATGTCATAAATTCCTCAGATAGATTACCAAAAAATAAGTGGATTTAGCAATATTTACCTATATCAAAAACTGGCTTCCAACAAAGTTATAGGCGTTAAACTAACATTCAAAAATCGTTTTTTTTTTTTGTAAAAAGTTTGCTGTTGCGACTTTTTCTTTGAAATTTTTGCCAGTGGTGTAGATTTGCAGGCCCAATATTCTAAGAAGAAAAAAAATTTAAAACGACCCTTTTAAAAAAAGTTGGGGGGTTGGGTACCTTTTAACCCCCCGTTTTTTTTTTACATAAAGAAACTTCCTTTATTGATCTTAAAATCAAAAATAACTATGAATTTTTAATTTTTTTTTATAGCGAAATGAAGTTTGTAATATTCTTAGTTAACGAGCTATTTACAATTTTTTAACTGAATTTCTAGAGTAATTCGTCCGTCCTAGACTTAACATATTGTAATATGAGTCATTTCATTATTCAGTCATGCTCTAATCCTCCTCTCTATCTTATTTGGCCTTTGAGGCTCAACTTGTCCGATTATTATACATAATTAAACCAAACATATGTGACCACTATGGCGAAGGCGCTTTTGATTACTATTCGAGAAAGAATGGGATAATGTTTCTAGTTTTGGCGAAGAACATTCTAGAACCTTCACCATAATTTTAAATCTGTATATAAAATTGGTGGAGGAACAACGCAGCAGTCAGTCATATAAAAACATTTGTGAAAATAAATAGTGAACAGTTTAGGGACATTCGAAATATATGTAAATTAGAATAGGATTGTTTTAAAATAAATAAGTGTTTAAATAAATTATTAATAAATAAATAGTTGTTTAAAATAAACAAACAATACAATATTAACAAAACTAAGAGTAGGTCAGAAGTTATTGTACAAAAAAACGCATATAAAAATCAGTGGTGTGACTAGGGCTGTGCTTGAGCCGCCCCTGCAAAAACTACCTCTTTTATTTATATTTTTTTAAAAATGGTATTTATAATATTGGAATGGCGCCATAAAAATGGTGTGCGACTGATAAAAATACACGTTAGTTTGAAAATGTATTTAATAAATTTAATAATAATTAAAAAACTTATTTTTTAAATTAAACAATTAACAAAAAATTAACAATTAAAAATAAACACTTGACAATAATTAATATACATATTTTATAAAATATTTAATTTAGTAAATGTTCAACATGTTCTTCTCCTACTTGAATACAAAAATATAAATAAAAGAGGTAGTTTTTGCAGGGGCGGCTCAAACACAGCCCTAGTTTTGTTGATATGTTAAGTCCAAGACGGACGAATTATTCTAGAAATTCAGTTAAAAAATTGTAACCAAGAAAGATACAAAGTTCATTTTGCTACAAAAAAAATTTAAAAATTCATAGTTCTTCTTGATTTTAAGATCGATAACGGACGTTTCTTTATGTCAAAAAAAATACGGGGGGGTTAAAAGGTACCCAACCCCCCAACTTTTTTTAAAGGGGTCGGTTTAAATTTTTTTTCTCCTTAGAATATTGGGCCTTTAAATCTACAGCACTGGCAAAAATTTCAAAGAAAAAATCGCAACAGCAAACTTTTCTGAATGTTTAAGTGAATGTTTAACGCCCTGATACAAAGTATCAGTACCTCTCGTTCTTTGTACAAAAAAAAACTATCCAACGGACAGAAGCGTAATAATTTTCATTCAGTCCAATTTTTTTGAGGTTACTTTTGGAGATAAATGAGAAATACAGCAATTTTTAAGTGTTTTTTCGAAAAATTGTCAAAGAAAAAGTAAAACAAACATGCTTCAAAAGGCTTTCATTTGACTAACCTCCAAGTATTTACATTTTTAGTTAACGCCTAATTTGAGCCACTGATTACCTCAAATTTCAATGTCAAATAGACTCTAAGTAAAACGATTGTGACAGAGCGACAGACAGAGAGACACCGAGATAATTCTCTAAGTATTTCTTATTGCCAATTTGGGTACTGATGAGATAAATTACATGAAAAATGATTTGTTATTGTCTTCAAAATTTTACAGTTTCCTTCTAAGTATATCTTTTCCAAATTTGAAATTGATATTTTTTATCACAAGAGAAACGAGACGAGACAAGATGAGACGAGACAAGACGAGACTAGAGAAAGGCTCTTTCGAGCGAGAGAAGTGCCTTCTCGTCGAGACGAGAGAACACTTTTCTCTCGCCCTACGAGACGAGAGAGGCATCTCTCTCGTCTCGTCTCGTTTCGCGGCATCACTTATATACGCGAAAATTATCTACATCTGAATTTGACAAACTAATAAATGGAATCATAGAAATCGGAAAAGATGTATCGCTGAATATACATTAAAAAATTAAGAGTTTCGAATCCGACGAATTCAAGTCAGTTAAAAATAGTAAATAGGTCTTTTCGTTTAAAATATTTTGACAGTTCTGTCATTTCCGGTAATAACGGAAGTAGATGCCACTTCTTTTATTCCACACACAACATTTTAGGGACGTTTTGTATAATAAAGTGTTATAGATAAAATTGGTAATTATTTTCCAAAAAATAAAAAGAAAATGAACATTGCGATAATATTAATTTGAGTTCAAATTTAAAAGTATTTTAACTAATACATTACATTAAATTATCCTTTATTGTACAGGGTGAGAAAACAAAAACATATTTAAATTTTGATTTCCCAAAACATCAACTTGAAGATCTACTTCCAGTACTGAAGGTTGGCGTTCGCCCCTAGAAATCTGCCGTATATGCGCGATTGACTTTAAACGTAGCTTTTGGGAAAAATATACTTCCTGGCGTTAATTTTAATATAAAAAACCGTTCATTAAATGAGCCTAGGGGCTGTAGAGACGTCTTAAGAAACTGAGTTGTTTTAAAGTACTCTAAAATGACTTTGACTTTTGTTATCTAAACCACATATAATCATTCACTTACCTAGGAATTTTCTTTTTTAGTTACAACCCCCACAACTAACAGGAAAATATTAAAACACATCACACTTTAAAATATTGTTTAGTTTTCTTAAAAGCTAGGTTTAAAATTATATAGATTTTTTTTATGAAATCACAATTATATTTTGCATGTGATATATCACGTGATAGCGGAAAGTTACAAAGTTAAAAACATTTTAAAGTATTTTTCTTTCATGATTCTGTAAAAAAATGCTCCGCTTTCACAAGGACTTTCAGAACCATGTATGATTGATAAAACATCGTGTTTATTTACTTATGTATTTGATCAATCTAAAACTTGAGCTGGTCCTGTCCAAGCCGGCAGCGTTATGCGCATGCGCTCCGACATACTATTTGCTCTATATAGTTTCACTTCTGTTATACGGAATTGACTTTCTATACTATTTCTATGAAAGTATAACATTAATAAATAGTAAAAATAATAGTGGTATTGGATTGGAACCCTGGGGAACTCCATAAACATATCTTAGAAATAATCTAAAACATTAAAAAAATAAAAGTTTATGATACAATATTTTGAAAACAAACAAATATTCAATAAAAAACTTTATAATTTAAAGTTTGTTTTACTCCTTTGTGAATTGACAAAGACATTTTGTCGAATTCTGCTTTTTCCTATATTTATAAAAAGTTAACATCTAATATAGAAGAAGTGCGCCAAAGCCCTTCCAAGTCAGACATATTATATCATTTAGAAATATATTTTCTGTGATACCTAGCAACAATGCATAATCACGTCTCTAAATGAATGTGTATCATCATTAGACAATAATTATTAGGCAAATTATGGTGTTGTATAACTCACATAAGTAAAGCTACGTCCTTGGTTAATACGGGTTTTTGGTGTGCAACAATCACTGCCGTTGAAACCATGTTTGTTTTCATAAATTATTTCTTAAATTGAAATTATTTGGCAATGCTCAGTTAAAACGTATGATTGAACTCAGGTGTGGTATATTCCTCATTAAAATAAAAATTTGGCAATCATATTCAGTTTTTAATGAGACAAACTAAAGGTAGATTTGTTTAATTAGTAGAAAATTGAAACTGACTTAAATTCTCTCTTGTTTGGCAACATCTCTCTTGCTTGGCAAGTGACAAACAAAAATAGTTGTTTAACACTAGCAAAAAACCATGGAGGTAAAGGTCTATGCAAAAAACATTGTGTTTCTGTTCTTCTTTACAGCACGCGGTCTAATCTAATCTATTGTTTTAAAGTATTAACCAATAAGAACGCGTAATGCATGATCAACGTGGACTGCAGGTTCGAGTTGTTCAAGTCCACGTGGAGTAGACAAAGGCGCAGACGACAGACCCCTTTGTCGGCATTTTTTAGTTGTGAATTTTTATATTTTTTGGTATCGGGTGCAGAATACAGGGTGTATTAACGAAACTCAGAAACAAAGCAGTTAAAAGAGGTCAAATTTTATTATCAAGGGGACGATGTGTCAAAAATCCCACCCTCTGAAGCCTTGCAAAAACCTTCTACTTTTTTTACATATTCTTACTGGAAAATTTTAAGTTTAAAACATGAAGATGTAACACAAATCACTGACATAAAATATTGCTTCTTACTGAGTATTTAAAAATTAGATTTAATCAATATTTCATTATGGTATTCGACAGTAAATTCAAGTAGTCTGAGACATATCAAATTATAGTAAACCAGAATTCTCTTTTCCTGCATTCTACGTCACTGGCATAAATGTCATTTTAGAATAATTTTTCGATTCTCCAATATTTTTTACGTAAATAACATATTATAACATCATTATTTTTTGAGATATTTAAAGTTAAACATAAAGCTGCTGCCTGCTGCACTATTATTTTGATTTTAATATAATTTATTGTTCATATTAGTAAATATTAATTTAATTATGTTACTGTCATATTTGGAAGTATTAAAATAATGATCAAAATTCATTTTTAAATAACTTAGTAAGGAACAATAATTCGTCTAAGTAATTTGAGTTAAATCGTCATATTTTGAGTTCAAATTTTTCCAGAATATTTACACATATTAATGAAACACCTTGTATATATCACAATTCCTTCTAATAACGTTATGCCATATAAATCACCCAAATATCTGTTCCAATACCTAACTGAGATTTATCACCAATAATTCACCTATTACCTATTTTCCCAGTTACACGAATAGACTCACGAATTTCTTGGCCGTCTACCAAAACTTCGAGGTTTATATTGGCTTGTATTTACCTGCCTACTGGCAAAAACCGAGTGTCTTGTGCTAAAGCATATTTATCACGAAAAAAACGTAAGTTGGCATAAGCGAAACTCCTCGAAAATAAGTTGAGATATCGGTTACATCATCGCTTGCAATGAAGTCATAATAATAAGTTTTGTGGGCGGTAAATTAAACGAGATGGACATTAATAAAAGTTGTGTCAAAAGTTTGTTTGGAGTTATGAATACAAAATAATAAAGTGTGAATGTGTTTGTTGTACAATATTCTGTTTAAAATTGAATTGTAGTGTTTTCAGTTGTCGGCAGATGACGCGCAAAGTTCTTAACGCAAATCAAAACTGAAACCTTTCAAATTGTCTAAATTTTGGATATCATGTTAATACAAAATTAGAGGTAAATATTTAAACAGCCGATTTATAGGTGAAAATAAATTAGAAAGTTCCTATAAACATTATATTCAAAAATGCCTATTAAAAAGAACTCCCTGAAGATGGGTTTCTGAAGATATTTTCGAAACCAGTACTGATAAATACTTTATTTTTTAAATTTCTCTTAAAATTAATATTCTGAATGTAACAACTAGTTCAAAAACTGTATCCTTTTAACTGGGACGCCATAACTAGAAAGTTGTATAAAAAGTATTAAAACTTTTTATTTTCTAAAATTTCTTATTTTTGAGACGATACGTATAATATAAAATTCAACCTTTTTTAGTACAAATAGACACTTTTGGTTCACTTCGATAGGATTGATAGTTTCCATGAGTATCGCTTCAAAAAACCATGCATACGATATAACAAAATGGGAATTGGTAACACTGTTTGACTTGATAGATGACGTAAGTACTTGACAGGTAGCATAATAGACATCTTCCAAAAGGACTGTAGCATCTTACTTTGTCTTTAAAATAATTTTTACATATTATGGGCATTTTTCGAAACTAAATAACTAAAATAACATTTATATAAATAAACTGTTGTTTTAACGGCTAACTTAGTTTTGTGTTAAAAAAAATATATTTTTTAAAATATGTTTAAATTTAGCATGCGTGGCGTTCTTTGAAGCGATATTCCTAAAAAATTGGATAAAGGTATTTTTGGACATTGTGTTTACAAGAAATTCCTGCCCTATTTTCACCAGAATAACATGCTGGTCAAATATTTACCTCTAATTTTGGAACATCCTGTATGTTGTATAGAAACTAACATATTTAATAAAAGTTTCCATTTATCAAACTTCATTAACTTATAATCCAGATCTTTATAAATATGCTTAATAAATATTTCTAATCCAACAAATAAATGCATGTTGTGGTTGCCTTATGACCAATAATTATTTTGATTTAAATTCGTTTCTTTGGTTCATTAATATTTTGTTTATCCAAATCTAAAGCTATCTAGATAATATTACAATCTTGTATGTAATTGGAGGATGAACTTACAAATTAAAAAATCAATCAATTTCTGGGAGTGATTTTCGCAAAAATAATTACAAGTACTTAAATAACATTTTCTTTGTATATCTGCCTTTATCAGATTACACAAAAAGAACATAATTATAAAGTCCTTGGTATCGATATCTTGAAAATGTGTTTAGATACTGGAATTGACACTTCATACCGTTTCAATCTCAACCTATTTCGAGGAGTAAAATGGCTATACAGGGTGGCGCTACACATCAGGTTTTTAAATTAAATATCATTGATTTGACTTTATCTTTTTATCCAATATTATTTAGAGACTTGCTTTTTATTTTATTTTTTAGTAAAGTGTACATGAATATATTTCAATTTGGTGGGCTTACTCTCTATTAATAAATCCAACTATCTAGAGAATTGTAAAAATGTAGGCTTTCACGGCCGGCGTCAATTTAATTGTTTATTTCCGGGGTCTTGCTTGGTTATTACTACCAAACGTGACGTGGACGAAGTACTCTTCTCGACGTATTAACTGAAACTGAATCATCCTTTGGCCCTTTGCTCGGAGTGTGGTATTTATATGCTTGTCTGTGCGCTCCTTTTTGGCGGTACTGATATTAGGCGGTTTTATTTTCGCGTTTTTAAACTATGTGTGCCAGATCCTAGGTAATATTGTTTTTTCTTCCTTTCTAATGA